GTATTCATAAAAAATTGATGGCCATGTGACAGCAGTTATTGCAGAAAATCGGAAAGCTTTCAATATCCGGATACTGGTACACTTTGTAAAAACAATCATTCTGTGCAACAGATAAACGTAATATGGATAAAATCAATAATGTTGTCTTGATTAGGTTTTGGTTATTAAAAGGATTCAAAACATAAAAAGAAACACCATGTAGCAGTTCTACTTAATATTATTATATATATAGAACACCTGATATGTTACATATATTTTACATTATGATTAATGTCCATTCCACTTCACAAACTACTTTTTTTTAAACGTAAGATACAAGGTGATTAACAACAAGGTGACCTGTAAAATACATTACAAATCCTTACTTTATAACTTGCAATACAATACAATTTTTGAAAGAAATTATTTTTTTTTAAATAAATAATACATAAACATTAAAGGATGCCTTTCATATAAAGTAAGTGGAATTTATTGGGTTACACTTTTATTAACTAAACCTTAACATAGAAGGTTGAATATTACAATTTACAAATAAAGTTATTACCTGAGGGTTGCTTTTCAAAAAGCTATTATGATGTTTAAAATAATGAATAATCAGGCTCCTTCCTATTTATTGAATAATTTCATTTTATCGTCAGATGTTCATACTCGCATTTTGCGTTCATCATCTGATTTTCAACTTTATACCCCTAGACCAAATTCTGAACAATTTCGTAAGTCTTTTGTTTATTCTGGATCTTGTATTTGGAACGGCCTTCCTGATTATATTAAGTCTGCTACATCTGTTCACCATTTTAAAACCTTATACTTGAGGTTTTATCACGCATTTTTGTATACAAATTGATAATCTCCTGTATGTTTTTAAATTTATGTATTTTAATAGATTGAATATGTTAAATTTATATTGTTCCTTGTTGAGGGCCTCATGGAAGATTGATATGTATGTCAAATGAGTTCTCTCATTAAATAAAGTCTTTATTATTATTATTATTCAATAAATTTAGTATTAAACTACACTCATTCAATATCCTCTATATCTGCTATTGTTATCTGACTTGATACATATCGCTTACTTCGTTCCTAAGTTAAAGTTTACCGTTGGCTTCAACTGTAAGAAATTACTTAAAATATCACTAAAATACATTTCTATTGATTTCATTTTCATAACACCAAAGTTAGGTTGATGTCATGCAGATGTTAAAAAAGCATACGTACCTGTCTAACGCACTTTTATCAACTCATCTCTCCAAATTTTTCCCCCCTTTTTTGCCCTTGTCACTTTGGTTCCTGCGTGGGCCCGTTTTGGTTTTTGTTGTTTCACGGGTTGCGTGTCGTTCTTCTCCCTTCGCCACCATTGTTTCCACTCGTGGCTTTGGTTTGGTGCCTTCTGTGTGCCCTGCTAAGGTGGCTTGGGTGTTTCGGGGGGCTTCGTCCTGTGAACGTTGCCGTTGCCTTGTTGATCTATATTTTTGTTTTTCAATTCCAAAGTGCGTGACGTACCATAGTATATAACGCACTTTAGGATTGGACACCAAATAGAATTTGACCAAGTGCGACGTAACATTGTACGACATAGAGAATCAAGTAAGAAGTTTAATTTCAGAAAAAAATCTTGTCCTTAAGGATTTACAAAATGCTAAGTTCGAGTGTGCTCATAGATAAGGGGAAACAAATGTCCTGTAATTGTAAAATATGTACGTTCTAAAGACAGAGAGGTCATTTTATGTAAATTGCGTGAAAGTACATAATAGAATAAGTGAATTAGGCAAACCATCAGTTGAAGCGAGAAATGATGGTAGCTTTTACGGTATTGACAATAATGTGTATACATGTATATATATACAAAATGACGAGAATCAGGAGCATTAAATCGTAACAGGATAAACAGCAGCACGGTCCGGCACCGTACGGCACCATGCGGCACCAAGTGATCAAAACTCGATGAGGCAACCTAGCTCACGTTAACATGACGCTATTGATATGGACTTATCAGCTTACCTAAGCTGCCACGCTAACGACAGTGTAGCTTTAATAAATTAAATGACTTAACAAAATCATCTTACCTCGGAATATCATAAACATATTAAAGCATGGCATATCAACTTGTATTTACAAATTCTCAAAGATAAAATTATGTTTTTCATATAAAAGATGATGTTTCAAGCCGAACAATATTTCACAGCAGGCGTTTCAACTTGATCCTAACTGCGCAAATGTTAAGCATTTGTGCTGCCAATTTGCTGAAAATTAACATTTATTATTGTGCTATTCTGTGCAAAACAAATCCATCGAAAGAGAAACTGTGTCAATGCCGACAAAACTAGACAGCTAGTGTTTTGTTAAATATCTATAAAGTAATTTTTATTTTTATTTTCGTTGTATCATGAACAAAATTAATCTTGGTTAATGCCAGTGCAAAGTATAAAAATGAGTTTGAAGCAATGAACAAATGAACTTCACATTCCTTAAAAAAAATGTCATAATTAATAATTCGATATAAATTATTCGTTTAAAATACTGTAATGTATATTTCTATATATAAATCTATCTGAAATATAGCATTTTATGTTAGTAATGATTTTACACACCTTATTTTATTTTAAAGAATAGTCGTAAATATATGAAAATTAATGCGATAAAAATAGAAATTTAGAATAATAAAATCCCTTCAATCACAGTATCCTCATGACCTTGCACTGTGTGTTGTTGTTTTCAATGTAAATACTTTTCAGGTTTTTAAGATTGGTCAAGCGCAAACATCTGGTTTGCATGTTTCTATACAAATCAGGCTATGAAAACTATGAACATAATTTCAAAGATTGTATCAGAAAACTAATACGTTGTATAACTGTTGGATGTAAATACTGCGTTTGTATTGAACAATACTCAAAATTTTATTCTTTTGGCGGATTAAAATGCCACTAAGGTGTTTATTAGAGATATATATATTATATATATTACATATCCTTATTATCTCGTGGCCTCAAAATATTATATCCTGGCCATGACTTATTATCTCGTGCCCTAAAGATATTTAATCACACACCCTTGCCGATTATGTGACTGTAAAAAATGGTATTGCACGACCGTGCATAATTATATTAATGTTAGCTGTCAAACACTATAGGCGTGTCGATGAAAAATGATATTTTTTCACTTTAAACATTCTTTTGATGTATGATAGATAGAATATTATATTCGTGTACGTTATTTACAAGTTGAATCAAGTAATATTATGAATGCATAATATAATTTTAAATAACTTTTTAAATAAATTCAGTATTGAACACTCATTCAATATCCTCTATATCACAAAGCCTCACTGTAGTATCTTGTTGCCACGACTTTATATCTTATAGCCGCAGCGAGTTATTATCTTGAGGCCATGAAAATGGTCGTTTCAGAAACAGCGGGTCAAAAGCTGTGGCGGTGAACAAGGGTAACTTTTTATAATTATTATTGTACATGTACCTCTTTCTTATCTTTTGTATGGTCAGGTGTTTCTTTAAAAATTATTCTTTTTTTAAATTAAAGTACTTTATTTAGAAATATAAGCCGTTTATGTATACTGTATATTTGCCCCACTTCCCTATGGATTTAAATCGCGTCTAGATAATTATTTAAGATGATTTAATACGATGTTACAATGATAGATAATTTTTGACGTCTTTTCTGACCTCAGTCTCTTTCTTTAATATCAAAACTGACAGATATATGTTTCAATGAAATATGACAATTTTTTTAAGATATGTTTTCTTTGATTCTGTTTGTTATTGTAATACACATGTACATATATTAAGATATTTGCTCATGGGAAAATACTTAGTCCATGATTTTATAAACTCATATAATTAAACGTTTAAAATTCATTTCCTTGATTTTGTTTTGGAAAGCTCATGTGCATGGCATACAAAGATAAATATGTTCTCACGAGAATCTTATAATTATGCTATTTTTTTCGCATATGTTGCAAGAAAATGAACATTTTTTTTTATCTTTCCTGCAGACAAGAATATGTGGAATGTTTTCATCATAAATTAAAATCAAGAACATATGACTTATACAAGTACATATATTGTCGATTAAGTATGTTTTATGACAATCATTTTATCTTTGTACCTGCTATTTATCAAACTTATAGCGTTCTATCGGTATAAAGAAATAATTTTAATTGTGCCTGTAGATTGGCTATTCAAAAACTACATAAAGGTGATCCGTAGTTTCGTAGATAGTTTCCTACATCACACATGGATCTCTTCAGCATATATGTAGCTCGACTGGAATTTTGACCGACAGTTTCTTTATTTTAAGACCAATGTCAATAAATATTTTTAAAAAATGGTTTGTTTGAATGTAAAGCATCGTTTGGTGGTAAGATTTTGTGAAAACTCTGTATTTGGAGTCCGTTTAGTGACGTTTTCTTCATACGCATTACATACTTTGGGCACACTAGAACCCAAGACGAAAAGAATATCTCGATGAAGACTGCATAAAAAATCCGAACAAAACTGGGTAAATATAGAGGAAAGCTAGGAGAGTAGAATCACATTTCGATGTTCTTAAAAAAAGGTTTGAATTATATATAAATGGTTAAAATGTTGTAAACTTACCCTGTGATTGACCTATTTTCTCCTTCACATATTGAATTATACTGCATCTTGAGTAGCAGAAATTCACATATATTTTTTACCGATGTTCAATTTTGAGATTCATATGCGGTTCCACCCCTGTGTATATAGTTTTTAAGTGTTATTATATATGGATAGGGAAAAACGATGTGTGTATTGATATCCAATGGTAAACAATGCTTAAAAATATTTCGAAAGAAAAAGGTAAATAAGATTACACTTAAGACTCCAAAATAATATGCAAGAACTTAACAAAAGAAGAAATCTAAAAGATCAACAAGTTGTTGAAAACAAAATATACGGAGCAGCTATTTTTCAACACGTGTAATGTCAAATACTAAAAACAACAACAACAACAACAACAACATGAAATTGATTGACTTTACACCAAGTATGTTTAAGTTTAATATTAACATTTGCAATTACATTGTATAACTTTTTTACTAAAATAATACTTTAATACTCAAAAACATTTATGTGAAAAAGGAAAAAAAACATAGTTTTCTGATTCATAAAATTACAGTCAGTACCAATATTTTCATGTCGTCTGATTTAGGATATATCCATAAAGTTACAGAGTTGACATGTTGAGGTAAAGAGAAACTATCAACTGGTCAATGTGACAATGAGTATTCATTGCAGAATTATGTTCCCCCTTTCTTCGTTGCGTTTACTTAAATATCAAGCGCTGAGAAACTGGGAACATGCCTTGATAAATGAAATTGTCACTTTTTCTTCATCCGTACTCATTTATTGAAGAGAAAAAAACCTTAATGTGCCATTTAATACTATAGTTGATTTAAAAATACGAATAAAAGAAATTAAAAAAAGTTTTCTAAATACAAATCAAAGAGAAATATACAATTGAAAATTATCATGGACTGCAAAAATAAATCAACAAAAATTCAGATATACAAGTAAAGATTTTACAATAATATAAACTGACATTATAATTTAGTCACCCAGGTTATAATTGTACATTGATACAAACCAGCATTCATTATAATTTAATAATACAAGTTATTATTGTACAATATTACACACTAAGATTTTATAATTCAGTGCTAAAAGTTGTACCATGATTCAAACTGGTATGGTATCATAATTCAGTCATACAAGTTAGTATTGCACAATGATAAATGTATAAACAAAGCAAGCATTTTAATGACCAAAAGGTCCAATAAAAATCTGGAAACAAAGTGATCCCTCGAAAGCATTAATTTCAACAAAATTACATGAAAGTTGCAGACTCGGTTTGTTTTAGTCTGTACAAGAGGGATAATAAAGTAAGTGCAACATCCCTCAGCTTGAGTGGTACTCAATTCTCAACACTTAATAGTGCTGGCATGAATGATCCCGAAGAACCAGAAAAATATAACACTTTAACAACACTGAAGTGAAGTATTGCAGCCTTGCATCAAACATGCATGCTGGTGTTCACAAATTGATATCTATCTTGGCTTCTTTTTTACAAATAAATGGATATTGTCCGAGACAAAACAAATCACAAAAATGTACATCGTAGTCGACAGAACAGCCATTGTTGTTGTTACCAACAATATAAACACATTTTTCTTCATAATTTCTGAAAATATACGTATAAACATTATTTTCATTTATAAAAATAAATTTTCTTTTTTTTTCATGTTTGATGTCGTAAACTGGTCATGAAATGCACTGAAAAACTAGTATGTGTGCCAGCATACTAATCCCTTGTTTTTATTTTGGTATTCACAACTAGGTTTCAGAACATAAACACAACCAGATAAACGTTCAATCAAATATATACAATGTGGAAATGGATCAGAATGATTTTTTCTACTTTTAACTATCGTTGCATCCATTTACTAATAAATGTCAACATTTTCTACATGCCAAGTCATTTATTTATAAGGTGAATATAGTTTAAACTTCTCATAAAAAGCGCTTTTCTGTAACTCTAATGCATTACTATAGTACCTCCACTATGAAGTGTATCCACATAGGTTACTGTATTGAGATTGATGGGCATGTGTTCAAAGCCCAGAAGGGGCAACTTTTTTCTCTCTCTTTTTTCTTTTTAACATAATTAATATATCCCTCAGATCCCTTATGGAGGGACAACGTGTTTGATTTTAATTATGTAATTACTGAAAGGTATTAATTTGCTAAATAATGCCAAATTTGATAGCAAAACATGATACCAGATATTTTTATATAAAAAATAGACGGTAAAAGTATTTTATATTTTGCGAGATCAACCAATTTACTTTTTTTTATAACAAAATAGCCAAACTTTGAAAACAGCCCCTCATTTTGGCAAATTTTAGGGATATTTTCAATAAGGCTTTTTACATAGCGAAATAGTCAAAAAAGTATCTAAATTGTGTGGGTAGAGTAACATTTTTATACATATTAAAACATGAACATGAAATCACGTCTGTTAAATCCTTCAAGTATGATAAATTGTAGTCATCGTTATTTCGATTTGCCCTTCGCAGAATACGCATGCGCCAAATGCAACATTCGTTACACTGGAAATATCGTATTGTAGAAAGGTCTATTGCATTTATGTAAATGTTAATATAATGTTCATATTCAGTTTACACAAAATTATTTTAGTTTGATGTTGAAATGAAATGAAACACTCTCGAATCCATTTCTGGAACCAACATGTTGCAAGTACTAAGCAAAGAATGTAGAGATTCTATCTCCAGGATAGAACGACTTGCCCCTGACAGTGTTTGAACACACGCCGTCAGCAATCCTTCGATTACTATAGACTGATGCGTTAACCACTCTGTCACGCCGCCACTCATATACAGGTAAAAATTCAATGCTTTATTGTTTTTGTTGCCTGCATATAATACTATACTTACTATTGATGAAAAAGCATTTATTTGATATTCTCAGTGTTTTCACAAAGGGTCAAAACGAAACTATACACTCAATAGTTTTCAAGGCTACCTTCATCAGTAAGTAATAGATTTCATCACAGACCTTTTTACGCTATGAAAAACCTACCGGATGTAGCATTTTCTTGCGCATGCACAATCTGAGCAGGAGAAATGAGTATCGCTTTAATACCGTGTATATCGTGTTTGACGTCCTTATCCAAATAAGACGGCAAGGGCCGAAAAAGTTGGGATTGATAGAATGCTTGTTTTTGTCTGATTTTATTGTTTTAATATGTTATAGAAAGAGCATCGAAACATGAGGCTATCTGATTAGTACATTTAATAAGATGATGTTTTTTCTCTTAACACATTACGTTATATACACGCATTTTAACGCCTTTTTCACCCCCCCCCCCCTTTTTGTGGTCTGAAATGGAAAAAAGGCCTTATTTAGGCCCCAAACACTTGTTTTTGTTTGAGAAATGTTGTTAAAAAAGTGACCACTTTTTCGGCGCCCCCCCAAACCAAAAGATACATCAGGGGGTTGCCGGAATGGGGATGGCCCCCTTCTGTTTGGGGGGGGGGGCTTGAAGGGGGCGGAGTCCCCCTCATCGCCAAGAAAATTTTGGACTTGTGAGAGGCTATAGATGACCCCAGATTGATCATAAGGTAATTTTGAGATGTCCCCTCGTTGCCATGGTAACAGAAAATTTAAGCCTGAGCATTTTGTTGCAAGGGCAATGGTCCAGTCAAAATTTGTGCCAAGTTTGATTAGTGTTGAAGCAGTTTTTATAGTATTATAGCAATTTGAACTTGTAACGGGAGACATTTCAATGAAAACAGCCATTTTCAACAAAATGCTCATGAAGTAATGGGTTAATTATCACAGGCTAAAATAAAAACATGTTTCTTGTTGTCACAATATGAAAACCCCAGAAAAAGTAACCAATGAACGAGCACCTGAATATGATATTTCTATCGCTTTCCCTTTCTCTTTCGTCACAATAAGTAGACCCCAGAAAAAAACGAGCCAATCAATTTGGTATGCTCTGGAGTGCGGGTAACAAAGATCTGCACTCCAGTTAACGCACTGTGCATGTATATGGATACGATTTAACTCTACCAATTTTCAACACAAAATTTCCCAAACGATGATGCAATAATTTTAGTTATGGGACGTTTCTGTTGAAAATGTGTAAAAGATTAATTGTATACACATATACATGCAAAGTGCGTTACCTAGTGTAAGTATTAGACAGAGAAAGGGAAAGCGATAGCAATAGAGAAACGGACAAAAACTCTCCCTTCCAAAAGCCCCCTCGTTTAAATCAGATAGCCTCGTGTCTCGATTATCTTTCTATTATATGCTTTAACCATGCTTGTTTAAAAGTGTATGGTAAACGTCGGATAATGCACTTTGTCTTATCATTTGAAGAAAATTACCGCGGATATGATACGCTAAGTTTTGTTTTGATTTAAGAATCGTTTGTCACCTTCATTTTACATAAGAAGGTACTTACCGGGGCTCAGCAGTCGCCATTTTCTCGTGGGTTTTACTATACAATGCACGTGATCCCCCTCCCCCCGTGAACGTGCTAAATTAAACGTTGATGATTTTAAAAAGCTTGCCTTACATCTTGTATTATGTGTAATAAAAACTTTTCCATTTTTCATCGCCACTTGTTTAAAATCTGGTATTTTTGAGTGAAATTTCCAAATTATTTGCCAATACTCACATATTGACTTGTTTATTACTGGTCTTCATCCTTGCCATACATAATTACCTAATTATAATGCAAAATTGCAAACATAAAGCCCCAGCTAACAAATTTATGCCCGTTTTTTTTTCAAATGTCCTGGAGTTCTTGTGATAACTCTGAAGATGTCCTGACGTTCTTACGATAATTTTTGTGTTTTTTGCGCTAAATCAGGACACGTTTCAGCGTTTTGTTATTATTCAATAATGTTGTAAATCATTATGAAATGTAGTACATTCATCCTTTGCACAAAAATGAGGATATATAATGTTGGTATTGAGTGTCTTTTATTTCAAGAGATATTATTTCTTAACCCAGTTTCTTGCGCAATGTTTCATTTTATAGTATTTTTGCTGACGCACATTACATAGACAAGAAAAATGATTGATGTAGAGCATTGACTTACGTGATAAAATGCACTTTGAAGTCAATACGCATGATAGTGTTTTCATGTATACATTATAAAGGACTTTTTGTTACAATGGTGCAAAGATTTTGAATAAAATACCGTCTAATATACGTTCTCCTAATTCTCTGACATCCTTTAAAAATAAATGTAAATTACCTCTAATTTAGGAGTTCAGTGCTTTACTAATGCCACTAAGAATCTTTCGTACACATTTACCGGTTATTTATGAAAATAAACTTTCTTTGAATTAATGTCTATTCTTTCTGATAACATTAAATTGTTTATGAAGTTGTTGAGTACTGATGTTATACATACTTTCTTGATAATGTTTCTGCTCTACGCAAAATGCGCATGCGCAAAACGTAGCATCTGTTACTTCGGAAATATCGTATCTTAAAAAGGGTCTATTGTGTGACGTGTACGATAACATTTATCCTATTGTACATTTTTGTTTTTGTGTTTTGCTATATATGTAACTTTATCTTTAAGAGATATCATTACTTAGTTAAACAAAGTAAAATTGAAAAAGGTTAAACATTTACCAGTACAAAGATCAGTTACTATTAAAGATATACCTGTTAGTCGTTATTTAGGTTAGGTTAGAGTATACGTACGTGTATCGATCTCCGACTCCATTGGATAAATATGGGTATTCGTATGCCTGTCCTTCCTGTGTTTCGTCTACCAACGTCTCTATCCACTGCACCTCCTCGTTGCTATCATAATCACCGACCCACACAAATTTGAAATTATTATTTAGAATAATATTACGTATGAAAGTATTCTCTGCTGTATTTTCAACGTCAATGTTAGATAAGGTTGCTTCTAAACTTTCACAATGGGCACGTGCTTCACTGAACGATTTTTCCTCTTTCACATGCCAATAACAATACGATGAAAATTTTCGCCAATACAATGGACAGGAACGTAAAGCATTTAAAAGTTTAGATTGAGTTTCTTTTAAAGCTTTTATTTCTTTCTGCTGTGCAACTATCAATTCCTGAGTTCTCATTTCGTCAATTTTGCTCAGTTTTGATTGGATTTTGTCAACAATTTTTGCATTTATCATTTCAAAATTGGTCTTCATTTCTGCTTTCCAATCTTTTAGTTCCGTTCTGAGATCCAAGAAGGTATTGTTCAGCTGATCATTTTGTTTATGTATAAGACTCGTTAGTTTTTCAAGTTTATTTCTTGTCCAATTTTTCGCCCTTTTATCTTTGCTTTTCATTTCAATTTTGAGCTTCGAATAACTTTTAATCAACTGGCCATTTTGTAAATTAATCTGATAGGTAAGGTTTTCAAATTGATTTTCTAACTGATCTGTATGCTCTGTAAACTGTATAGTAAGATTTTTCACTTGATCTAAAGTCATTTTCATTTCTGCTTTCCCATCTTTTTGTTCGGTTCTGAGCTCTAGGAAGGTATTGTTCAGCAGATCATTTTGTTCATACATATGTTTTTTTATTTTTTCCACTTGATTTCTTGTCCAATTTTTCGCCCTTTCATCTTTGCCTATCATTTCAATGTTGAGCTTCGAATAACCTTTAATCAACTGGCCATTTTGCAAATTAATCTGATAAGTAAGGTTTTCAAAGTGTTTTTGTAACTGATCTGTATGCTCTGTAAACTGAATAGTAAGATTTTTCACTTGATCTCTTGTCCATTGTTTTTCTCTTTTAAGTCCTAACAGCAACAGTACCGGCACCTCACTTGACTTTAGAATTTCAACACTTTTTGAAGAATCAGTTTGCTCCAGTTTTTCTGTCTGTTGATCCATTAAAGGACATATTTGATCCTTGAAATTTATCATAGAATTGTTGAGTTCATCGAAATGTTGTTGCAATGACACAAACATATCTTTTGTCAGTTGGTTGTCAGCGCTTACTCGTGATTCAACAACGCCGATTCTTTGTTCAATGATATCAAGTCTTCCTCTTAAAGATTTTGCATCTATCATTAAAACACATGATAAAAATAGGAGACATTTCGCTGTATGTCCCATTACATTATACATCATGTTTCTTTATGTTTACTTTCAAAAGAAAGTCTTGAAAATACAAATGTATAATGAAACGTTAAATTTCTTATAATAACTGCTTGTTATAAACTATCAAATACACTTTTGAGAAGAAATCAAATACGAGTTAGCGTTCGCAGTTCTGCAATGATTGATGCTATTAATTTTTTAAGTTTTTAAACTTATCCTAGTAACATTACAGCATACCGTATTTCTCCTTAAAATCTCCCCAACCCCGCCAGGACAATGCCCGCCATTTGCTATTCATTTTAAACATACTATTCATTTAAAACAAACATGTTTTGCAATAATGACAAAATAAGAAACATACAGTAACTTGATGAAAGTAATGTCCCAGCAGGCACTCGACGTTGTTTCAACGTTGAAACAACGTCGAAATATGGTCGTGACGTTGTTCAACCAATATTCAACTATGGACGACCATACGGATATATAGCCAATTTGTATATACAACGTTGATTCAACGTTTTTTATGGTCGAAGTTTTACATTTAGTTTAATTATTATATAAACTTTTATTCCACTAATTTTGTGTTATTTTTCCTTTATTGAATTAGTCTGTAAGTGATTTTTGTCAGGAAAACTTGCGTTACAATCTTTTTCGGTATATTCAAAATTAGCGCTGAAACAAATAAAGTTGGGAATAATTTTTCACTTTCTAATAACGCTTAAAATATTAGTTAATATGTTTTGTTGTTTGTTGTTTTATCTTTTAGTTCTTTAAGAATAATATTAATTAATAAACTGTTATTAGTCAAAACCCCGTTTATAAAATAACGCTGGTCAGGGAAAGTAATTGTTTCGGTCTATGATATTGTTTGTTCTATAGTTATCGTTCGTGCAAACGGTGGCGCTGTTTGGAAAATTTGAAAACAACACGATTGGCAATTTATTTGGATTTCGGAGATTTTACCGTAATGTTTTACTTTAGTTTACTGATTATTTTCTAAAATATTATTATTCATTCTTAAAATTCTACTTTAATTTACTAGATGTGTGAAGTTGGCGGCCTAGCGGCCTGGCGGCGTGAAGTTGGCGGCCTGGCGGCCTAGCGGCTTGGCGGCGTGAAGTTGGCGGCCCAGCGGCCTGGCGGCCTAGCGGCGTGAAGTTGGCGGCCCAGCGGCCTGGCGGCCTAGCGGCCAAAAATTTTAATGTTGTAAAAATGTTTTTTTTAACAATAAAACGGCATTTAATGAAGTTTTAAAGATAATTATTGTTATTTAAACGATATATCTAAAGAAAAAATCACTTTCAGAGATTTTTTTAATTTTGTCATTTTTGTGAAGTTGGCGGCCCAGCGGCCTGGCGGCCTAGCGGCCAAAAATTTTAATGTTGTAAAAATGTTTTTTTAACAATAAAACGGCATTTAATGAAGTTTTAAAGATAATTATTGTTATTTAAACGATATATCTAAAGAAAAAATCACTTTCAGAGATTTTTTTAATTTTGTCATTTTTGTGAAGTTGGCGGCCCAGCGGCCTGGCGGCCTAGCGGCCAAAAATTTTAATGTTGTAAAAATGTTTTTTTTTAACAATAAAACGGCATTTAATGAAGTTTTAAAGATAATTATTGTTATTTAAACGATATATCTAAAGAAAAAATCACTTTCAGAGATTTTTTTAATTTTGTCATTTTTGTGAAGTTGGCGGCCCAGCGGCCAAAAATTTTAATGTTGTAAAAATGTTTTTTTAACAATAAAACGGCATTTAATGAAGTTTTAAAGATAATTATTGTTATTTAAACGATATATCTAAAGAAAAAATCACTTTCAGAGATTTTTTTAATTTTGTCATTTTTGTGAAGTTGGCGGCCCAGCGGCCTGGCGGCCTAGCGGCCAAAAATTTTAATGTTGTAAAAATGTTTTTTTAACAATAAAACGGTATTTAATGAATTTTTAAAGATAATTATTGTTATTTAAACGATATATCTAAAGAAAAAATCACTTTCAGAGATTATTTTAATTTTGTCATTTTTGTGAAGTTGGCGGCCCAGCGGCCTGGCGACCTAGCGGCCAAAAATTTTAATGTTGTAAAAATGTTTTTTTTTTACAATAAAACGGCATTTAATGAAGTTTTAAAGATAATTATTGTTATTTAAACGATATATAAAAAGAAAAAATCACTTTCAGAGAACTTTTTTATTTTCTCATTTTTGTGAAGTTGGCGGCCTGGCAGCCCAGCGGCCTGACGGCCAAAAATTTTAATGTTGTAGAAATGTTATTTTAACAATAAAACGGCATTTAATGAAGTTTTAAAGATAATTAGTGTCATTAAAGGATAATTCAAAAGAAAAAATCACTTTCAGAGAACTTTTTTATTTTCTCATTTTTGTGAAGTTGGCGGCCTGGCAGCCCAGCGGCCTGACGGCCAAAAGTTTTAATGTTGTAGAAATGTTATTTTAACAATAAAACGTCATTTAATGAAGTTTTAAAGATAATAAGTGTTATTTAAAGGATATATCAAAAGAAAAAATCACTTTCAGAGAACTTTTTTATTTTCTCATTTTTGTGAAGTTGGCGGCCTGGCAGCCCAGCGGCCTGACGGCCAAAAATTTTAATGTTATAGAAATGTTATTTTAACAATAAAACGGCATTTAATGAAGTTTTAAAGACAATTCTTGTTATTTAAAGGATAAATAAAAAGAAAAAATCACTTCGAGATCACTTTTTTTCTTTATTTTATAATTTTTCTGAAGTTTTTGTTATTTAAAAGATATATAAGCAAAGGATCACTTTGAGAGATCTTTTATCATTTTTGTGAACGTAGCGACGTAAACTTGTTTTATGTATGGTACGCCTGGGATTCAGGCGTTGATATTTTTTGCTTATTCATTACATACATACGCGTTATTTCATACTTGTTCGTGTTTTTGATAATATCGATCAGCCGAACAGAAGCACATAAGAATGCGGAGTGGAACGCAGACTAATATATGGTGTACAATTTCTGTAACAAATATGAATGGTCCTTTATGAAGTTTTAAAACTTTTTTTTCGGGTCCCATCCAATTTATTCTCCCCGTCCCAACCATGAGTATAAGTCAGATAATCATCCTTTACTGACTTTACAAAATAACTTTTGCTTACACATTGATTAACAATAACTCATGATTATAGCATGGGGTTATGGTCATACCCTAAATGATTTGGATGAAACTGAAAGGTTGAATGGTCCGGATTCCGATTGCTAGCACAAGTGTAAATTAGTCGTTATTCGGGTAAAAATGTATTAAATGTTTCCATGTTGTCATTTTAACGCTATTATTTGTTAAAGTTCAATATGTGAACTTGTAATTTTTAAACATTGATTTGTTTTAACATTTGTATATGTTGTATGTTGCTTGTATGTAATTGTTTAAATTATTATCATGCATCACATGTTTATCAATTTATCGTTCTTACTATTGCTGTACTTCAACACTTCATTCTTATGGTGTTGTATATACAGATATTCACAGAATAAATGTACAGTACCTTTGCTTTCTTATTAAAATTATTAAGGTTTTGCACCCATTTTCGATCTGTATCGCATAATAGTTATACCTCAACACCGCATGAATTATGGTAAAAATACATTTTGTTACAATGATGCCAATATTTAGAATAGAATCTTATTTTATAACGGTCATATTATTCTCTAACATATTTTGAAAATAAAAACTTGTACACGAAATAAATATCTTTATAACATTACTATATTATAGTACTTATTATGCATGTATATTTATAATAAATAAATTAAAGTATTATTATGGCGAGTGGTTAGCGCGTCGGACTAGTCATCTATGTATCGCTCGCCGTGTTGGCACAAAGCCAGTTAGGGGCAAGCCGTTATTTTCTTGAACAAGACACTTAACACTAAATGAATAATAGAATACATCATCCAACTTTCTCTTCATAATCAGAACTCTCTAACCACTACGCTGCTCGATCAGTTGTACGTATCCATCTTCTATATATCAATAAAAATGCAAAGTGAAATAACTGAATTACTTGCACAACCCATTATATCATAATGGTATGACCCGTTAATGTAAACGTTATCGAGTTCGATTTGAACCTTTGTTTACATAAGAGCGAAAAAAATATGGAAAGCCATGGCTGTCTTATATTGTTCTTTTCCAATTTATTTAACCATTTGGATAATATATAAGTTCACTTCGACTAAATATGAATTGAAAACACCTTATTTAACCGGAATACATCATGTTAATACACAGTTACAATATATGAAACCATACCGTCAGTGTATGAAACCGAGTTAGCAATATATAACAAGGGGGAGGATCACGCCGTTCGTAACCCAAACAAACAAGATGGCGGATGCAGCCAAAAAGTAGGTTTTTTCCCTTTTTTCTCTGAAATTCGTGATGTTCTAATGTAAAAGTACATATAACAACCTTATTTTTCCTGGCACACATTATTTCATTTCATGATGTTTCGTCCCGTGCTTCATCTGAAATGCGCGTCACCAGATTCGAAGCGAGAGAATTTTCCATCGGTTTGATCGTGGTCACGTACGGCTTTTTCTCTCAAATTCACTGTTTCGTTTACATATATGTATGTATATTAACTAAAACCACTGACTTTAAAAAGTTGTAATATGTCGTCATCTAAGCATTCATGCCCATTCTGACTAAAATAACTGCTGAAAATATTAATATCGGGGCATTTTCTGTACCATATATTGAAGAACTGGTATCATATAAAGTTATAATCAAGTCATATATTGCTACTTTAGTTCCGTACATTGATAAATTGGTTTCATAAATTGTAAAAATGAATTAATATATTGAAAATTCGGTTTCATATTAGGACATCTAGTTCCATATATGAGTAGTATAGGGGTCTCTTTAGGGCCAAGACTGCGCATGCGCGGCGCCATATTGGATTCTATTTTTAGAATGACATCATCGTTCTATTTTTAGAATGACATTATCGTTCTATTTTTAGAATGACATCATCGTTCTATTTTTAATCTCCCGGAAGTATACGGAGCTGACTTGTATACCCGATCTAGAGCGTGAATCGCGGACATTGAGGGTCAGGTCCTCGGCCCAAGACGGGGAGATAAAATTAGTATCCAAGCATTTTAAAATTGAATGGCAAAAATAATGATTCCCTTTGTTTTTATATTTCCCACACTGCGTACAGTGTACTTGACAACTGATTTAATTATTACTTTTAATCAATGTTCTCTATAATACACGTTTAATTTAACTCAAATAACTAACATTTTAAATGTATTTCTTTATATTTTAAATATCACCCTTAATACATAATTTATCTTATACATTTTCAAATAAGGTTATTAACATATTTATTTTAAGTATTTCTTTATAAACATTTAATAAAAATATTACCTCTTTACTCCTTAAGCTCCAGCAACGAAATGACTCCAATATTAAAAGTACTATCCCTTAATGCGCATGCTTGGATTTGATGACGTCACCAATGCAATAAAACAAGCTCCAACATGTTGCGCGTCTATTTATTTAAGGCCGACTGGGCGGACAATTCAAAGTAAACATGTCAAATTTGATCCTTTTAAAGTCGCCGCACTGTCTGGCGTGTGTTGATTTAAGAGCAGATGTGCGGACAAAAGGCTATTCAGGTGTCAAAATTAATCCATTCAGAATGTCAACAATGTTTGGCGTATGTTGATTTAAGAGCAGATGTGCGGACAAAGGCAAATTCAACTGTCAAAATTAATCCATTCAGAATGTCAACAATGTTTGGCGTCCTGTTTATTTTAGAGCAGATGTGCGGACAATGGTCCATTCAACTGTCAAAATTAATCCCTTTAAAGTCGCCGCGATGTTTGGCGTCTTGTTTATTTAGGGACGAATACTTTAACAATGGTCTATTCATATGTCAAAATTAATCCCTTTAAAGTCTCCGCGCTGTTTAGCGTTT